CCTCTAAAAGTCTCACCATTGTATCCGTTTCCCACAGTCCACCGAATTGGAAGGTAAAAATAATCATAGGGTTCACGTACCTCTCTAAGGTTGCGTGAGCCCTTAAATAAAGACAATGTCAAAGCATTAAAATTTCTATTTATTAGATATCACATTAATGAAACGCAGTGCAAAATTTTAGAAATTTTTGCGAGGCTACTAAAACAATTATTACATATTGAAATTTTATGATGATTAAAAACATTTTGTTTTATTTTATAAAAAAAATATAAATCAACAATGACAGAATTTCTGGTACGATATTCATAATAGTTTTTAATATATTCGCCTACGATTGGAATATATTTGCAAGTATTACTTCTGTTTACCAAAGCACTTGTGAAAGGTTCGAAACTATCTGTCATAGGCTCGACTATACTTATCTATTTTCCAAAGTATTTATAGAGAGTTCGAATCCATTTGCGAGGTGTTTGATCCCATCGCTAATTAGAATATTAGAAATCATACGTTGAAAATTCCCTGTAGCTTAAGAACAATTTTATAAGTCTTTCTTAAAAATTATCACATTTCTTAAAATTTGACAGACTCACACAACCGTGAATAAACATTCCAACGCAATCAAGAAGATATTAATTTACTTACGATTTATCTTAAACAGAATTGCTAGATAACTCTAATTACAGATTCTAATCAGTTTGATTAAGCTAAGAAAGTTAATTGAACAATTCACTAGCCAGTAGGAATACGAGATAAATGATTTTACACCGTATAAAACTGAATCAATGGTGTGAGTCAGTGCGCAACGCATAAATTAAAAGGGTACCCCTAATATTTCTTCCACCCTCGATTGATTCTCCCTCTCGTAAAGGTTCGTTAAAGCCCTGGCCGCGAACCAGACTCTTTTCCGTCCCGTTCTCTGTGCCGTCGCGTCGGTACAGCGAGACAGCGATAAAATACGACGGAGCGAGAACGGTCGCGATTAAAGCCGAGGGAACGGCGAACGACGTCCACACCGCGGGCCACCTGTCCAGGTAGGCAGTAGGTATACCCGTTTCCGTTCTCCACTCCGCTCTCGAACCTCGTAAATTGGTTGCGTCCTCGTAAATCGGTACTCCGATTGGCTGACCCGAATCCAGCCAGGGTATTTTTCATTTACGACGCTTTCATTCTCGTTCCATGCCAAAGGGTCTCGATGAATATACGACGAAAATGTACGTGCGATCAAATTTAAACATATTTTAAATAAGTTTCTTATAAACCGACAAAGTCGTACAAATATTTTATACTCTTCAAATCTTCATCTACAAATTTCACGTGTTTCCATCATTCTGTGCACGTTCGTCTCTACATTATAATCAATATATTTCATATTTCAGATCCACGACTTTCTAATGTTAATGGATCGTTACATTACGATAATTGCTTCGGATGGTATATGTACTTCGTTTTACTGAAGATAAGTAAATTAACGCTGCTATCTGGCGTGGAACTGTTGCTCGGAGAAAAAGTAAAGTGTCCGGCGAATGGAGAGCCGTTCGGTGGCCGTTTCGGTTTCGACGAGTCACGCGTAATAATCGTTATTCGGCGTGTAGCCCGAAGAGTGAGAGAAAGTCACCGTACCGTGTCTCTCGCCTACGGCTGTCATTACTTAAATCGACGCCTCCTTCTGCACCAAGCGGGGGCCAGGGTACATGCATACACGGTGTACGTCGTTAAACGGGAGCAAAATAGATCAGACTAGACTAGACGTTGGCCGAGATTCCAATTGAATAAACTAAAACGAGTTAAAATATCGTTTATCTCGGAGCGTCGAGTGAAAAATCGGCTAATTGGAAAATCGGGAAAGTGGCTAAAGACTAGCTGAGACGAGAAGACAAATCGACGGTGTAATTCATCTGGAAATTAATCATAAACATTTTTACGATCCTCTCTGACGGCTCCTTATAAGGACATTGCTAATTTTGCAGTTGGTTCGTCCATTTTATTCTATTAATCGTTCTCTCATTTCCTCCTCGCGTTTTGACCTAACGAGAAGCCGGATGAAAGATGACCGAGGAAGAAAAATCAGTTGGTTCTCTTATTAACGAAGATCGAATCTCTGTTCGCGATCAATGCGCCGATTCACCCGAGGGTTAAAACGCGAGGCATTTGCGGCTCTCCGTGGAAAGTTCACTCGCGACGTAGGAGCGTGTTCACGAAGCCTCGATAATTTCCCTGTTAAAGCGTATGCATCGCGTTCCCAGCGGCTCGAACGCGATTAATAACCCTAACTGTAAGTGTCGTTGCTCCGTGTGTCGAAACCGCGACGCTATTAGGTATGTTAATGTGTGCCGCGAGCATTGTGTGGAAAACCGTGCGGTTGTACTCCGTCCGTTCGTCCGTCCGGCCGTACTTCTCTCCTAGCTTTAATTGCTCGATCGCGTGATCATTGGCGGACGATTCAATTTCAATTCGAAGATGGTAGTACGATACGCGTATTAGTTTCAGACGTCTAATTTATAACAGGAGACGTAATTGAAAATTAATTTGTTTAACTGAAGATCGAATCGCTTCCTGAGGTCAAAGGTTGATAACGAAATTTCTGCTATTCGCATTTATTGCGAGATACAAAAGCGTATCGGAATCAGATCCCTGTGCATCCTGCTCCTGCCCAGATGCCTGTCTCCGGTTTCTAATCCGTGAGAGAGCGCACGGAGCAGAGCTTACCTGTCCGTTTCCACGAGATAACGCCTCGGCTCCGCTCCGCTCCGGTCCGCTTGATAACGGTCGACAGATAAGCGAGACTCTACCTCGGACAGATTAAATCGTAGACCAGCCACGGGGAAAAACTTCCACCGCCACGGGTTATCTGCCGTTTATCGTGGCGGTCCGTTTCCCGGATTAGAATCTAAAAAACAGGCCGCGTACACCCCCGTTCACAAGTCTCGACGTACTACCGTACGACGTTCTAAGAATGTGCATCAATTGGAATTTGTGGTAGTTGAATGGATCAACAAAAACAGGTCATTCATATCGAATGCTTCAGAACTCATCATTTACTGCAGGAAATTATTTTCCTTTTATGAAGTTGAAACATTTTATAAGATTTATAAAACTATAAAATGATTATTATTATTCAATGAAATT